GTGTCTTTTATTGCTGATACTGGATTAAAAGAAGCAAAGGAGAAAGGTATTCATTTATATATTTAACAATACTTTTGTGATAAATGTTTAAATAAATAATTATTAATCTATTCCACTATCAATATCAGTTCACAAATATAATCTATTAATGGAGGACTTTCCTCTTGGTGAATTGTTATCCGCTCCTAATGTCGAAAAGATTAAAGAGGCATTATATATTGTTTTCGCGCATTTCACCAAGAAAATGAGATTATCGTAAGTATAAACTATGTAATTTATTACTTAATTCTTTTTGTTACTGATCGCCAAATTCATTTTCGGCTGTTGTAAATAGTCCATATCCAATCAAGAAAGCACTTGCTCTTGTAGAAGCCATCTCTCGTGATTTAAATGACGTATTACAAAAAATTTTGTGTGGTCGTCGTTTGATGTATATGGAATATAATGATTTTGAAAAAGTTATGTCGGGTGCTGAAGATGTTTTTAGAACCTGGGATGAGATGATCAGAGAATTTACAAATGTAGCACGTGATGTTATGCGTAAAAACTCATATAAATTCGTTCCAATCAAAATAAATCCTGCACATGATAAATTGCAGGAACGTGTTGCATTTGTTAGGAATTTTAGGAGACAGCATGAACAACTTTACCAAACAATTGTTAAAATAATGATCCAACCGAAGAATGCCGCAAAAATTGTTATTGAAGGCGAAGAAAGTTTTAGCATAGATGATATAAATTCTATAAAGGAAGTAAAAGTGGCATATGAAAGTGTCAAGGATATTGATGTGTTAGAAGTTTCGATTGAAGGCACAGAAATCTGGTTTCAAGCTGAAAATGCATATTTCGAACGTGTTTCAAGAGTAGAAAATCAAATTATTGAAAGTCTACGAGATCGACTTAGTACATGTAAAAATGCTAATGAAATGTTTGGTGCGTTTTCAAAATTCAATGCTTTGTTCGCTAGACCGAAGGTAAATTATTTTGTAAGGGCATTGTTCTTGTGCTATCATTATGCTAATCATTTTATATTGTTATTAGATTCGTGGTGTTATTCAAGAATATCAAAATGAACTTATTGACAGAGTTAAAAAAGATATATCTAAACTTCATGAGAGGTTCGATCAACAATATCATAAATCTGAAGCGAATTACATGTTTCAGCTTCGCGATATTCCTGCTATCTCTGGTGCAATGATTTGGGCACGTCAAATTGAAAGACAATTACAACGCTATATGAAACGCGTTGAGGATGTTCTTGGTAAAGGTTGGGAGATGTATGCAGAAGGCCATAAATTACAGATCGAATGCAATAACTTTAAAAAGAAATTAGATACAAGACTAGTAATTATAATTTTCAAAATTAATCAATTAAATTCTATAATTATTTTATTAATATATACATATAAATCTTTATATAGTTTTATGAATTTTGGCAGAAGGACATTTTACAGCGCAGCGATTTGAATATGACCGGAAGATTACTTGAAATTACACGAGATCGTGCTCAAGGAAACATTCTTCAATTAGGTGTAAATTTTGATCCACAAATAATTACTATATTTAGAGAAGTGCGTAATTTATTATGGTTAGGTCATCATGTGCCACACAATATATCCACAAGCGCAAAAGTTGCTAAGCGTGTATATCCTTTCGTTATAAGTCTTATAGAGACGGTTAAGAAGTATGCACAAACTGTGCGAAAGATTCAAAAACATCCTGATATCATCATGTTGGTTGCCAATTATCGTAACGGTATACAAGCCATGATCACCAAAAGTATCACCTTTGAGTGGGAATACTTTGTGTACTCTTATGATGATTCTCCTGAAAATCAACATGTTACTTTTGTACGAGAATTTGCAAACACTGTTTTAGAATTTCAAGATAAAGTTGATGTCTTGATTACTAATTATGAAGATATTTCACGTTTAATTGAAGACCTAAATACTTGTGCATATCAGATGGATGAATTCAATTCCAATTTAGAAAAAATTCAAAAATTGATGAGTTAATTATATGTAGCTTCGTAAACTCTTTAAATAATCAATATATTAAAACCTATTCTTTAATCTTGTAGATCACCCATCTTAAATCTTATTCTAATATTGACGTTTGGATTGCACAACTTGACAAACGAATTGAAACTGTTTTGTCTCAACGACTACAGCGTGCTATATTTTCATGGACAACTGAATTTATTTCATCCAGTAACAATTCTACAAATATAGAGTCAATTGAAACCTCAGCTGATAAAGGTATAAAAAATGTCAGACATGAAACTGTTAGAAATGATTCTTCTGATGGTGAAACACCAACAACTGCAAAAACTGAAAAACCAGTGTTTCAGCAATTTGTTCATGCAGTGCTTATTAAAAATCAAGTAATTTATTTGGATCCACCCATAGAAGTTGCCAGAACTAGATGGTATATTCAATTACACGAGTGGTTTTGTAAGTCTGATTTTTTCTCATTGTTCCTTAGATTATAATTGCCTAAATTTTTTCTATTAAAACTATTAAATTATATTAGCGGTTGTGTGCAATTTACCAAGAATTCAAGGTTTACGTTCTGATATTGGTCAAGCTAGAGGATCCACTGTTTCTCGAGAGACAAATACTTATTCCAATTTATTGACAAAACTTCCTGATGGTTCACTAGAGAAAGCATATGAAGTCATTGAAGCCAATTTGAACAAAGTAACTGAATATGTTAACAAATAGATCCAGGCTCAATCATTATGGAATCTTGAATCTAATTATATTTATGAACGACTTGGAGATGATTTTAATAAATGGAAACGAGTTCTTCTGGAGATAAAGAAAACACGCGCTACATTTGATAATTCAGATATCGAACTGTCTTTTGGCATTGTAGTAATTAATTATAAACAAGCACAAAGCAAAGTAAATGCCAAATACGATCAATGGCAACGTTATGTTCTTGCTAAATTTGGTATTAAACTTGGTGATTCCATGCAAGAATTTCGTTCAGGAGTTTCAAATTCTCGCAAAGAACTTGAGAATAAATCTATGGAGAGTAATAATACAAGTGCAGTCGTTGCTTTTATTACTTTCGTACAAGACCTCAAATGTAAGGTTAATAAATGGCAACAAGATGTTGAGATATTCCGCGAAGGACAAAAAACTTTAGAGCGATATCAATATCAATTTCCAAGTGGCTGGCTACATATTGGACAGGTTGAAGGCGAATGGAGCGCTTTTAAAGAAATCTTAGATAAGAAGAGCAGTCAGATTCAAGATCAAATCGGTAATTATCTACTGTATTAATTCCGTTATTATGAGATAAAAAAAACAAACAAACAATATATATATATATATATTTTCTTATCTTGAAATGTTGTAGATGGATTAAGATTAAAACTTGTTATATGTGATAAAAATATGAAAGTTAAAATTAAAATTTTGCTTTTGATTGGGATAAAAATAAACAAATGGATAAAAAGACTAGGCCTGATATTGCAATATCAACTCTCGAAATTTTCGAAGGCCGCATCACTCGTCTTAAGGATGAATATGTCGAGCAAAAGAGGCATTGAACATGTATTTAAATGTTGATTGTCGTCTATATCCCATTCTTGAAGAGATAAGAGATCTCAGATCTATATGGAGTTCTCTTTCAGAGGTTTTGCAATCAATAAATGAGCTAAAAGAAATTCAGTGGTATTCAGTAGTGACAACACAAGAAAATCTACGAAAATTGGAAAAGCTTTTTATTTCTATTAATGAATTACCAGATAATATACATAAAGTCAGTGTTTTAATTTATGCAGTGCTTTCAATATTTTTGCCATCAATATATGAGCTAAAAGAAACTCCACAGTCTTCAGTGGTACCACGAGAAATTCGACGACAATTGAAAAATCTTAATTTTCTTGAAATGTTGCCAAGTTATATACGTTTATCTTCAACATTTGGAGTTTTAATAAATGAAGTGCTTTCAATACTTTGGCCATCACTAAATGAGCTAAAAAAAACCCCGTGGTCTTTAGTGTTACCACGAAAAATTCGACGACAATTGGAAAATATTCTTAATGATATTAAAGAATTGCCAAGTAGTATACAGGCATTTGAAGTTTTAGTAGATAGAGTGAAAACTTACATTAAAATAAATCCAATTCTTTCCGAGCTTAAATCTGAAGCATTAAAAGATCGTCATTGGGAGCAATTATTCAAAGCCCTTAAACTTGATAATTGTTTCAGTTTATCTGAAATGACAGTTGGTCATGTTTGGGATTTAGATCTTAAAAAAAATGCAAAAATTATAAAAAACATTGTAGCTCAAGCCTCTGGTGAAGAAAATTAAAATGATCGAATATAAATGATGCAGTGAGTGATACAATTCAAACCTTGATGAAACAGCTTCAGTATTGGTGAAATGACTTTGAAAGTTTTACGCATCTTTATCTGATAACAAGATGACTAGATATATTAAGAGTATTATAATTAATATAGTCCTGCCGTCTGTAATACAAAAGAAGATAGGCGCTGCGAAGACTGTTTATTATTATACGATTGCAGTTTATTCAACTACTTGAACGCTGAGTCTTAATTTTATAACTTAGTAATATTATGATATGTACAATAATTTAGATGTCAAGAAACGTTACGATTAGGTTCTGTGGGTGTCAGAGTACGAACTACAAACTCTATGTATTAATAGTACTTTACCCAGCGCTTGCAAAACCTTAGTGTCGTAGTCTTTACAGTAAATTTCGACTTTTCGATTTCTCCTTCTAATTTCCACGCACTTGGATATTAATTTAGACTAGAGTATCGTTCAGGCACTCACCCTCGAAGGCTTCACTAAAAAAGGGTTTACTATCAAGTGTTTTAAAGGCTTTGACATTTCTTCTTTTAGGATGCCTTATATATTAAATACTAATATACTAATTGTTATATCGTCCACGTAATACCTTTTTATACAAAATCTCGGGGTAATAAATTAATCTGACATTAGTTCAAAATACAATATTAAAGCACTAAATCAAATTGACAACGTATCGTTAAATTTTGAAATCTTATTTAAATTGAGATTTGTCTATTTAACATCATCATAATCATGTAGTACTATTCACAGAATGGATGTTATATGATTCAATGAGGGCTCAAAATTAAGCATTAAGTAATTAAGCATTAAGTGATACCGTAAAACTCGGAAAATAAGCACATACGGTAAATAAGCACCATCATAACAAAAATTTATGTTCCATAAATAAGCACCATCATAACAAAATTTTATGTTCCATAAATAAGCACCGTCAAATAAACTTTGAAATTGCGTTATCCGGTGATCATAAGATTGATCAATCAT